CGCTCGGAAACCGGGATCGTGGGTTCGGATCTGTTTCCTGTGAGGTACGAACTGAATTCTTATATATTATTCTTATACACTGCCGGTCACAGTAGCGGCGCGGTCTAAGGCTTGCACTGTCTTCGCTCGCTCTGAAGCCGGGATCGTGGGTTCGGATCTGTTTCCTGTGAGGTACGAACTGAATTCTTATATATTATTCTTATACACTGCCGGTCACGGTAGCCGAGCGGTCTAAGGCATGTACTGTCTTCGCTTGCTTGGAAACCGGGATCGTGGGTTCGAATCCCACTCAGGGCATGGATGTTTGTGTGCGTTTTTCTGTGTTTGTGTACAGGTAGAGGCCTTGCGATGAGCTGATCACCCGCCCAAGGAGTCCTACCGAATGTGTAAGATCTAGAAAAACCGAAGTGAACGGAGCAGTTCATGGAGGTAGGCCTAGGCCCACTGGGGCTGTAGTGCCAAGGAAAAAAAATGATATTGAAGAGAGAAATGGGAAACAAAGTGTTTCGCGTCTAAGCAAACGTACATTCGAGGTAGCAGCCGCTTATTATTATTATTAACTGCAAATGGGGTTTTGCTCTGTGGCAGTGGTGCTACAATAAAACACAACACTTCATGTGCAGTACTGGAATTTGGTGTAGTATATCTTCGAAAATATACAGAATGTCCGGATGAAAGGTATCCAAAATAAAAGAATCATATCTCGGCAAGTAAACTGTCATACACATATCCGGTTTATGTCATCGGAAAGAAAACTCTGAACATTTTTTATACCCGGTTTACGCGCATGCGCCCCAACATTTCTGCCACCATGTTAGGAATCACCTGGACAGAGAGATGCCTGGGATATGAATTGGCAGAGATGGACCAATCGCTTGGCCTCCTAGGTCGCCAGATTTAACCCCAGTGAACTTTTTCTTGTGGGGTTATGTGAAGAACATTGTCTACCAGGTTACGATCAATGACCTGCAACACCTGAAAGCCCGCATAAGGGACGCTGTGGCTATGGTAACACCAAATATGCTTCAAGCCTGGATATTTGTCGTGCCACCA